TTTAGGGCATGTTATGGACTTTGGCGCGTTTAAGCCTTTGATGACATTTTAAGCAATTTTAAACATTTTGGAACGTTTTACAAGATTTTGGGCATCTTAGGTATTTTGGGGCATTTTTGGCATTTCGGGTGATTTTAGGGCATGTTATGCATTTTGGCCCGTTTTGGCCATTCTTGTGCATTTCAGGTATTTAATGGCATTTTAGGTAATTTTAAGCATTTTAGAAATTTTACATCATTTTAGGCATGTTGAGTATTTTAGGGCATTTTTGGCATTTCGGCTCAATTTAGGTAATTTTAGGTATTTCAGGGCATTTTAGACATTTTACATAATTTTGGGCATTTTGAGTATTTTGGGGTATTTTTGGCATTTCAGGTGATTTTAGGGCATTTTATGGATTTTTGCGCGTTTAAGCCTTTGATGACATTTTATGCCATTTTAAACATTTTAGGACGTTTTACAAGATTTTAGGCATGTTAGGTATTTTGGGATATTTTTGGCATTTCGGGTGATTTTAGGGCATGTTATGAATTTTGGCGCATTTTAGCCATTTTTGTGCATTTTGGGTATTTAATGGCATTTAGGTAATTTTAAGCATTTTTGAAATTTTACATCATTTTAGGCATGTTGAGTATTTTGGGGCATTTTTGGCATTTCGGCTGAATTTAGGGCACGTTATGGATTTTGGCGTGTTTTAGATATTTTTGTGCAGTTTTGGTGTTTAATGGCATTTAAGTAATTTTAAGCATTTTAAAAATTTTACATCATTTTAGGCATGTTGAGTATTTTTGGGCATTTTTGGCATTTTGGGTGATTTTAGGGCATGTTACGTATTTTCGCACGTTCTAGCCATTTTTGCCCATTTTAGGTATTTAACAGAATTTTAGGTAGTTTTAGGCATTTTGAGGCATTTTTCGCATTTGGCATATTTTGAAGCACTTTTCGCATTCTACTGCGTTTTAGGTATTTTGTGGTGATTTAGTGCATTTTTGGCATATTGGGCGATTTAACGGATATTAGGGCATTTTAGACATTTTACACCATTTTGGGCATCGTGACTATTTTTTTGCATCTTTGGCATTTCAGGTGATTTAAGGGCATTTATGGATTTTAGTGCGTTTTAGCAATTTTTGCGCATTTTAGGTATCTAATGGAATTTTAAGTAATTTTAAGCATTTTGGGGCATTTTAGGAATTTTGGGACATTTACCGCATTTTGGGTATTTCGCGCCACACCTTTGTGGCATGTTACATGAAGTAGGTAATTAGTATAGCATGTTAGACTCACTTCCGGCGCTTTCGCGCGCTTTCTTACGTTCGTTGCCGTTCATACGAATTGCATTCGAAACAGACTTATCTTATACTAGAGATTATATTTGTGTCTTGAGTTATTCTTGTGTATTGGCGTTGATGCATTTTTCGCATTTTAGTGTGTTTAGGTATTTTGTTTTGAATTAGTGCATTTAAGGTGGCTCCATACTTGTGGATTTGATTTAAAATTTTAGCACGAGATTTCTTGGTAAGGAAAAGAAATTTCCCAGATATATTAACCAACATTCTAACAGTCAGAAATTGCCCATAAGCATGACGTCATCACCGTTGTTATGGTAACAATATCGAGTCAATATGGCCGACATTTTACCTATTCACGCATTTTACTCGAAAACAAGTTCGGTTACCACAATTTTTTATTTTATAAAAAGTTTTCTTACAAAAAAATGGAAAATATGAACCAGTTAAAAAAATTCTATAGAGCCAAAAAATTTCTATAACGAAAAATCACGTTTTATAATTTTTAATAATTTTGGCTCTATAGAATTTTTTTTAACTGGCTCATATTTTCTATTTTTTTGTAAGAAAACTTTTTATAAAATAAAAAATTGGGGTAACCGAACTTGTTTTCGAGTAAAATGCGTGAATAGGTAAAATGTCTGCCATATTGAATCGCCATTGTTACCATAACAACGGTAATGACGTCATGCTTATGGGCAATTTCTGACTGTTAGAATGTTGGTTAATATATCTGGGAAATTTCTTTTCCTTACCAAGAAATCTCGTGCTAAAATTTTAAATCAAAACCACAAGTTTTCAATATTTTAAAAATTTGTAGGGAGCCACCTTAAGGCATATTGGGTGATTTAACGGACTTTAAACCATTTTACATATTTTACATTATTTTGGGCATTTTGAGTTTTTTGGGGATTTTCTAATTTTGTATTTCGGGTGATTTTAAGGCATGCTATGGATTTTGGCGAGATTTAGCTATTTAAGCCATTTCAGGTAATTTTAGGCATATTGGGGCACTTCAGGGCACATTAGTGCATTTTATGGATTTTGGTGCGTTTCAGCAATTTAGGCACGTTTTATAGTCATTTATAGACATTTTATGTCACTTTAAACATTTTGGGACATTTTACAGGATTTTGAGCATCTAGGGTATTTGGGGGCATTTTTGGCATTTTGGCGCATTTTAGGTATTTAATGGTATTTTAGACAATTATAGGCATTTTGGGACATTTTACTGCATTTTGGGGCATTTTAACGCATTTTTGAGTATTTTATGGGTTTTGGCGTGTTTCAGCCATTTTAGCATGTTTTAGGCATTTAATGGCATTTTAGGCTATTTTAGATCTTTTATGTCATTTGAGACATTTTGGGGATATTTTAGGCATTTTGGGGTGTTTCAGGGCATGTTATGGATTTTAGCGAGTCTTAGCCATTTTGGCGCATTTTAGGTATTTCATGGCATTTAGGTAATTTTAGAAATTTTAGGGCATTTTAGACATTTTTGAGCATTTTAAGCATTTTGGGATGTTTTAAGAGAATGTTTTAATGTTATGCCGTATCTTGGTGCATTTTAGGTATTTAATACCATCTTAGGCAATTTTAGACATTTTGGGGTATTCTAGACATTTTGGGTCACTTCGCTGCATTTTGGGCATTTCGGGGCGTTTTAGGTATTCTGGGCAATTTTCGAGTATTTAGTGGATCTTATACCATTTTAGCCATTCTCGCGCATTTTAGGCCATCTTAGAACATTTTTGGGGGCATTTTACCTCATTTTTGGCATTTTGTGTATTTTAACGCCTTTTTGGTATTTTGGTTGATTATACGCATTTTAGAACAATTTGGGGGCATTTTAAGTATCTTGGGCGATTTAAGGGTATTTTATGCGTTTTGAGTGGTTTTAGGCATTTTGGGGATTTTACTTTTTAGTACATTTTAGGCAATTTAGGCTATCTTAGATATTTTGAGGCATTTGGGGCCCAAAAAATTTGAAACAAGAAAGAAAAAAAAATCATGAGAAAAAATCGATCCAAGAAAAAAGTTTGGCGCAAAAAAATTGGCCTATAAGTTTGGACACAGGAAAAAAAGACACAAGAAAAAAAAATTGAAACGAAAAAAGTTGACGCAAGAAAAAAAAATTGTAGGAAAAGAAATTTGGGCACAAGAAAAAAATGATAGGAGAAAAAATTGGCGAAACGACAAACAATTTTGGCTGGAAAAAATTTGGAAACAAGAAAAAAAGGATACTTTTTTCAATTTAAAACTTTTTCAATTTAATAATCTAAACTTACACTTCACAACAAAACAGCATTCCCTTGAGATGTTAATACTTCAAAAAAAAAAACAAGAGCGGATTGTAGAAGACCGCCGGCATAAAAGGCAACTATTGCTCTACTTAAATCCATGTTTGAATCAGCCAGGCTAACATAATTGTCTTTCTCCCATTGAACCCAGCTCAGTCCGAAAGAAAGAAGAGCCAAACAAACAAAATTTGACAAAAAAAAATTTTGACACCAGAAAAAAAATGACAGAAAAAAAATTAACCACAGGAAAAAGAATTGACGGGAATAAAATTTCGACGCAGGAAAAAAAATTACACTATATTAAAAATATTGACACAAGTATAAAAAATGACACAGAAAAATTTTAAAGAAGAAAAATTTTGAAATGAAAAAAAATTCGTTTGAAAAAAAGAATTGTATACAAGGAAAAAAATTTAGGGGCACAAGAGAAAAATTTTGACACCAAAAAAATTAGCGAGATACAAAATTTCGATACAAAAAACGTCATAAGAAAAAAGAAATATCAGGAAAAAATTAGCCACAAGAAAAAGAAAATGACAAGAAAAAATTTAGTCTCGATTAAAATAAACAGCAAAAAAATTTGGACCAAAAGAAAATAATTTTGCCACTAAAAAAATTGGACACTAAAAAAAATTCCCACAATAATAAAAAATGACAACGAAAAATAAAATGGGCAGGAAACTATTTTGACACAAGAACAAAATTTTGAAAGGAAAAAAAATGGACACAGGAAAAAAAATTTTGACACAAAAAAATGATAGAAAAACAATATGGATACACGAATAAATTTTTAGGAAGGAATGAAATTTTCGCTGGAATAAAACGACATCCAGTATTGGTATATACACTACATCCCTGAATTATATGCAAATAGATTTTTTGTTGTAACTCCGGTATTTTCCAATGTTCACCGATATCCGTAAAAGTAAACAAACGGCGGCCATTTTTGTGACGTCTTGCTTAAATCTACCATGTGTATGCTAACGTTTTATTCAAGATGAGACGTAAAGGTACTTATAGAGAAGAGGAGAAGTTCAAAATAGCTCAAAAACGCTACAAGAAAGTATCTAATTTGGGAAAGAAATAGTACCTGTATCGCATCGGGCAATCAGATGAAGAGAGAAGTCCGCCGTAACCCTCTTCAAACTAGTAAAAAAGTATTTGAAAGCGCTGGCTTTCCTAATGTGCCAAAATGTAGAAAACCGGAGGTTCGCAATCGGCTATCTATTAAAGGATATCTATTAAAAGGACCTATCTATTAAAGGATGGATATCACATGAAGGGGATGGATTGGGCGAAAAATCACATTAAAGTTTTGTTCACGGATGAGTGACAAAAATAGTCGCCGCTGTTTACTGTTACGTATATCGGTTTGAAATTTTAGTTCTTCGCGTGTATTTGTGTTGCCATGCATATAACGTAAAACTTTACATTATTCTTTATTTAAAACTACCGGATTTACAACACGCTTTGCATAATTCTGACACGCAGTGTTATTTACAAGGTTTAATTTCCCTCATTATTCCTCATACACATATTATATTACAGCAAATTAATAAAGTAAAGGGTTCAATTCGGCCTGGTTTCCAGTACATTTTCAACAGTAGACAAGTAAATCACAAATACTGACACTCGATCTAAATTGTGTTTCAGTTTTTTATAATTTCCCATAAAGCACGATCTTCATAGTTCGCATCAGCCATAACACATCTTGGTGCACCTATCCAACCGCCTTCAGGATGAGTAGGTGGCTCACCTTCAGACAAAACATATCTCAAATTGACCACACTCTCGATAAGATATTTTCCATTTTTGTTGATTATCCTCCAAAGAGCGCGGTTATCGTAATTATCATCAGAACCGAGGCAAAGTGGAGCATCTGTTATCCCTCCTTCACACCCACGATCACCTGGTATTTCATCTCCCATTGAGAAAAGATATCGCTTTGTTCGATAGTTTTCAAATAAGTATCTTCCTTGGTCATCTTTCGATATTTTCCAGAACGCTTGATTGTAAAAGTTATTAGCACTGCCAAGAATTTCGTTTTCATTTTTGGCGCCACCTTCAGATCCGCGTTCCTCTTTCAGGATAGTGCCTCTTGAAAACAACAATCTTTTTGTTTTCACGCTTTTGATGATGAATAAACCTCCAGAAACATAAAACGAGTTTTAATGAAATTTTCACTCCCCTTCTCTTTAACTTTGTCCTAGATGTGTTTGAGTGTAAGTGTGCTTTATATGAAATACAGGCGTTGATTTTTGAAATATATTTAGTTTTACCAGCCTATCTTACATGCATGCTTACATGTGTTGCCATCATTATTCGTTGCTTAAACTGGATTAAATATAGTTTCACAGTCAAAACTCAAAACACACCATAATATATAAGAAAAGCAGGATTAATCTTCGGGCAGACTACGCCACTAGTTCCCAGATATTATATTCACTTTGACGTTTCCTGTGCATTTCAAATTTCGTGTTTTTGTAATTATTTCATTGTTTTAATGCTCTTTGCATTTGTAATGTGCCGGGCGGGAAGCGTATCGGATGATAAAAATGAAAGCCCGACAAATGGCTTTAGTTGCTTGCTTATGCTATCATGACAAACTTGTGGCTTGTCTTTTAAGTTCGTTAATCAATTGCCAAGAGACCAAGCAACTACCAAAATTTCATTTAGGTAGAAGAAAACTGCATTCTGTAGAAAAAGCATTCTTTTTTGGTGTGATAGCTTACCTTTAAATATGATATTTTCGTACATTAGATTTCCATTGATAGCGCTTTCAACCTATATATACAAGATACACATGAACTGTATAATTATATGGGGTTAATCTAGTTCATTGAAATGCCTATATTTATTGTTTTTAAATAAAGAGAGAAAATGTTATCGGAATATCAATGTTAACAAAACAGGGACAAACTGACAATGTATTAAGGGATTCTTTGATAGGGAGTATTAAGGGATCCAAGAAAAATTGCATCGTGTAACGGCATTTGGTTTGAAACTCCTCTATGTTGAGGTAGATGGGCAATCTTACAAGAAAACTCTGTATGAAAACGAATCAAATTTCAAATTTCAGGGATTTAGAAAACAAAGACGAAATTAATGACGCAGATGAAGCACGACGCAGATTCCAAATGACGAAGGTTCTAAAGAGTGCCCCCAAATTTCCTAGGAAATATGGCCCGGGGGTGGGGGGAATTTCCTGTGACGCAGGTCCCAGAACTATTCGATGCAAAAGAGCACGTATGGAATATGAAAATACGATATAAAAAACAATAAAGAAGGCACTCGCGAAATCAAATTTAAGTATTAATTGCTGAATTACGTGCTGTTGATCTCGAGGGCTTGAGGCCGACGTCTTGGTGACAATCCAGCATCAAAAACAGAATTGTCTGTCCACGGTAGTCAAACAGTTCAAAGAAAACTTTAGATAATAGGGGGGTGCCGATCAGTGATAGGAGTGACACGCGAGTGATAAAAATATTATAAAAAACAATTTACTTTTGCATGTCGGGAAAATATTCTGATTTTAATTTTTATAAAATTAGCTCGACAACCCCGTTTCACGGCCTGGCCGGTGTCAAAAATTAAATTTGAAATGCAATAATCGATTTCTAAAAACGAAAACCACCAAGATACTGATGGTTCAATGTTGGCATTCCCATCTTTAATTCAGGGGGATTACCACCCTTTGACAATTTTCCGGAGATTATTACAATCTCCGGCATACTTTCAGGAGACTATCATCCCTAGTTTCAGGGGATTTCTCCCCCCAGGGCATTCATGTTAGGAATAAAGCCTCATGGCAAATTGTTTGTAAATTATTTTTAATTAGAACAATTTCGCGAATGACTATTACAAACGCATTTCAACCCAAAAGACCATTTCTCAAAATCCCTATCTATAAGAGGATTTTTACTCTTTCATCGCTGACCCGGAAAGCATTTGCAACATCACTGTGATCAAAAAGTTTTCGCTTTTGTGTTTAAGTTGACACCAAAGTAGTAGGGATAGTAAAAGGAATAATGAAATAAGATTTTTTCTTACAACAGGAATTGGTTCATAGTAGTTGAAATCAAGAGCTTGCGCCAGTTCACCGGGTTTGGTTGTTCTTGTCTGGTTGTTCAGTTGGCAATTTGACTCAGTTTTCTTTTCCTGGTAATTGATGGATTTGCATTTGTGTTGTAGTGTCAGACATAGCAGAGCACATTCTAACAAATTGTGTACATCTTTTTCTTTTATTAAACAATTCTTCAAAATGTGACCTAAAACACAAATTACCAAACGAATAAAAGAGTTTCTAACTAATGCATGTACAGAAATTATTGGGTGAAATACACCAGCCTTCACATATTCTGACAATGCTATTACATGCATGCGCCTGTTTGAGAGCTTTCAATTAACGTAAAAATATATTTCGTTTGCTTCCAATTTCATCTTGCAGACGGTAAACAGCAGGCGGTTTTAGTCAGGCTATCTTTAAAACAGGGAACGGGGAATGGGGGAATGGAACGGGGAATGGAAGGGAATGGAATGGCTTCGGGGAATGAGCCGGGGAATGGAATGGCTTCGGGGAATGAGCCGGGGAATGAGCCGGGGAATGGAATGGCTTCGGGGAATGAGCCGGGGAATGGAATGGCTTCGGGGAATGAGCAGCTTGTGCGTCAGTGCGAGTTTGTTTGGCCCATTTGGCGTGATTAAAACCTGTAAACGCTTCCATGTCACGAATCATGAGACAGCTACTCACAGTTTGAATTCCTTGAGGTAAAAGACAAAGCGATTACAAGCTCATAGTATAAATGCGATGTTTGCATTGTCATTGTGATGTACATTGATGTACATTATATAGATAGAATTTGGGTAGGTGGTTCAATGTAAATCCTCCAAAATCTGAAGGCAATTAGTATAATACTGTAATAGTATTTTTTGCAGAAATCTTTTTAGTTCTTAATATGCCTTATAAAGCTCAATGTGTGTGATTAAAAGGTGAATAAAGATACTGACACAGTGTCACTTGTTTGTTTTTTATTTCAGGCTATGTGAACAAGACCTCTGCACAGTTTTGTTTAAGCAGGAATAATGGTTGTGGTGGAAATGTGGTGAATGCATTCTTGACAAGTTAATGGGTTTGCTTCCAAGAATACACTGAAACTTGGAGCAACAATGACTTTGAATATAATTATGTAATTAATATATTATTTATTAATCTTAATTTATATGACTTTTTACCTCACATAATTCAAATAATGTTCAGATAAAGAGGTAAATATTTCACTGTTAATGGTGTAATAAATATTTTATATGTTGATTATATTCATAATGAATTATTTGTCCTGCTCCATACTTTGGCAATTCTGTTTAAGAAATCCCACCATAGTAGATCTTTTTTGAAAAAGTTACAGTCAAGTTGTTGTCTAGTTTTAGTACAAAATAATACAAGTGCTACAATTAAACAAGGGAAAATAATAAAAATTACATAAGCAAGCACATTTTTTATTTTAAAAAGGTCTATGAATTGAGATGACATGTACTAACAATTTTGTGCATTAATTAAAGACAATTGTATTATTACTGTGGGTTCTTTAATATTGTCCAATACTCCCAGTGACATCCCACTGAAATTCCTGCAGGTGCATAGACCTTTTTAAAATAAAAAATGTGCTTGCTTATGTAATTTTTATTATTTTCCCTTGTTTAATTGTAGCACTTGTATTATTTTGTACTAAAACTAGACAACAACTTGACTGTAACTTTTTCAAAAAAGATCTACTATGGTGGGATTTCTTAAACAGAATTGCCAAAGTATGGAGCAGGACAAATAATTCATTATGAAAATAATCAACATATAAAATATTTATTACACCATTAACAGTGAAATATTTACCTCTTTATCTGAACATTATTTGAATTATGTGAGGTAAAAAGTCATATAAATTAAGATTAATAAATAATATATTAATTACATAATTATATTCAAAGTCATTGTTGCTCCAAGTTTCAGTGTATTCTTGGAAGCAAACCCATTAACTTGTCAAGAATGCATTCACCACATTTCCACCACAACCATTATTCCTGCTTAAACAAAACTGTGCAGAGGTCTTGTTCACATAGCCTGAAATAAAAAACAAACAAGTGACACTGTGTCAGTATCTTTATTCACCTTTTAATCACACACATTGAGCTTTATAAGGCATATTAAGAACTAAAAAGATTTCTGCAAAAAATACTATTACAGTATTATACTAATTGCCTTCAGATTTTGGAGGATTTACATTGAACCACCTACCCAAATTCTATCTATATAATGTACATCAATGTACATCACAATGACAATGCAAACATCGCATTTATACTATGAGCTTGTAATCGCTTTGTCTTTTACCTCAAGGAATTCAAACTGTGAGTAGCTGTCTCATGATTCGTGACATGGAAGCGTTTACAGGTTTTAATCACGCCAAATGGGCCAAACAAACTCGCACTGACGCACAAGCTGCTCATTCCCCGAAGCCATTCCATTCCCCGGCTCATTCCCCGAAGCCATTCCATTCCCCGGCTCATTCCCCGGCTCATTCCCCGAAGCCATTCCATTCCCCGGCTCATTCCCCGAAGCCATTCCATTCCCTTCCATTCCCCGTTCCATTCCCCCATTCCCCGTTCCCTGTTTTAAAGATAGCCGTTTTAGTCATGCAATGAACCAACAAATCCCCAAAGCAGATTATATGAATATGCATCTTAAAGCAATAAAATTTAAGATATTGGAAAAAATTCTTAAATAAACCTGAATTAAAATAAATCAAAAGCTGTAGCGCTAAGTTATTCCGGACAACGGGTTTTAAAAAACATGCAAATTAAATCAGTCTGGCTAATAGCGCTTCCCAGTGCCAGAATTGTCTCGTTTAAATGCAAAAAACTTACACAATTTTGTTAATTTTGAAAAGATCATAACAGCTGTAAAATGAATGAAATAAAAGTAGCTACAACTCGGAGGAGATTAGCGTCCACTAATTTATCAGCGTAACATGATATGGAGCAACAAACGTAGCTATATATTGAGAACATCGTAAAGAGCGAGCATGCCAACAAAGAAAAGTTGTTTCACGTATATAGTTTTTTTCCCAAAAAGAAGGGATTCGACAGAAATAGCACGAACTAACAGACGAGATACCGCAACAAAAGCTCGTCAGAAAATTGAATGGGGAATTAGACGAATATATATGAATATTATACCCTGTCTACGCTACGTTTCTAGTGAGGCGTGCGAGGGTTCTAAATTATGTACACAGTTATAGCTTGTTTACACACCTTATATATATATATATACAGTCATTCATAATAATATTTTAGGACGCTCGTTTATTCATACCCACTGCTGTGCACATATTCAGTGTTTTATAAAAATCTATATAATTATATATTTACATGTTATAAAACTGAAAATTTTATTTCGTTTTTCATGGCATGCATGAAATAAACGACTATCTTCAGTCTTCTGAAGACGATATGAATCCCTATCTTAAGCCCCGTTTACACTCGATTTATTTTACCCCGTTTACACTACACTACCGCGTGTCCATTTTATCCGAGTCCGGCCTTTGTTTTGGTATAGCGTGAACACTAATAAAATTGGGCACAGGTACCAATTTTAGCCGTACTGTGCTCTGACAAATTTACTGTCGTGTAAACAACGGGACTTTAACTTATGTCTCTGTGCTTATATAACAATAATTAAGGCCTCAATATATAGATGAAAAACTGTAAATTAATTTTACTAAAAATCATGAATCAAATGTATTAGCTAAATGAGATTTAAGCAAAAGCGTATTCTTTCATCATGCTTCATAAATATTGTTTCATCATATCATGGTTTTATCAATCTTTCGTGATATTTTTTAATGTACTGCGGACATACACTCAAAAAATTGATCGGTAGCAAATTATTCTAACCTTTTGCGACAAGAGTAAAAGTCTTTCTCTTCGTACATGTGTATGCAATCTTTGTGTAGACAACCACGCAGAAGAAACACGAAAAATATACTAAATGATACTTCATCAATCTAGTGTATAACATATTTCAAACGATAAACCATATAGGCTTGTATATTACATGTATAGCTCTTCAATATCAGTAGCTTCACTCCCAAAATATACATGAGTTTATTGAATCACTACACAGGGTCTCTAGATAAAATGATTTTACTGTGGTATACAATCCACCAATAGAAATTGAGCGCTAGAATTTTCATTAGCAAAGCAGATGTTCCTTTCAAAATGAAAGCAAACACGAGTGCGCTCACATGATTGCATAATGTCTCCAAAGTAATCTTTTACATTTCATTTTTCAGCTTTAATTACACAAGAGCTTAATATGATGACAGGGGCGTAGGAAGCGGTGGGGCCGCGTCCCCCCCGGGAATAATATATATATTTAGCCCCCCTCCTGATAATACAGCAGTATAACGGAGTATCGGAAATTGTATATAGGTTGTATACGTAGTAACACAATGTGTAGATGTGATCAAAACTCTCATGCATAAAAGTTTTCGTTCATCACAATATAGTTTAATTTAAAGTTATGAGTTTTGGTGTTTCATATCACGCGTTCAAGAAAGACAGCGGCAGTTGCTTCGCTAAATGTTATCGTCTAGCGCAATTGCTCTCAAAGCCATTTCAAAAACAAGGATCTACAGCAATACATTTCAAAAATTTTCTCGCTCGGCGCCAACCATAGTGGCGTCACGTGAACGTGCCCCACCTAATCTTGTCCTACGCCCCTGAATTAATATGAGTTTCACGATAATTTCATAACAAAGTTTGAGGCAATCATTCTAGCTATATATTATGCATCAGGGAGGACAATGCAGAAAAATTATTTTTCTGTTAGATAATACAATTCTTATACAAATCTAGGATACATAGATTACAGTCAGTATAATCATTGCAATGCATTTTCTCCCGAACAAAATCCAGTTGAAAGAGGAGCATCAGATGGCATTACATGTTAGCGTAATGGCCACGTCCCTCATAGGAGTAATCCCGCTCAATTATTATTTTTTGTTGGGTTAAAATAATTTAACCGAAAATAATTTATAAGTGGAATCGTTTTGCGTCTTAATCGTTCATTTATTCATCAATATTATTTATTATAGTAATTAATCAATTTGACGCGAATGAAATCCAAAGCTTATGGCTTAGTTCGCTCGTCACGACATCTTCGTTCGCCGTTATGAAAGGGACATGTCGCAACTCTCGGAAGCTTTCGTCCCATTGGATAATTCTTTTCTATGCTTTCTAAAGAACGAAGCTATGCTATTGGTTGAAAGAGAAATGTATTGTAAAGTTAAGCCAATGAAAATCATTCCAGCGAGGAGCTGCGACACTACCCTTAAGAAACAACCATGATTAGCAAATGCTTATTAATTTGATAGATTTGGTGTATTTATTCAGCTCTCAGACATTAAAAAATCTTTGCTGCACTTTAATAACTTCAGAACGGGGCCTATATGAGCCAATGCCGGCCATGCCACTTTCAAATAAAATGCGAAAGAAATATCATCTAGCAAAGATCAGACTACACTATAAATGTACAATTCTATAACCATTTTTATTAGTCGATAGATAATTTTGTTAGTTTAGACAAAAATCTCAGACCGTAGCTTCGGTATCGGTTTTTTAACTTTTTTTCTGCAATCTACAGACGAGTATTGAGAATATGGCCTTATTGTAAAGTTGAATTTTTAAGATTGGTTTAACTTTATTGAACATATGTCTATGGCAAATAGTAACTGAAACTAGTGAAATACTTTTCGCTAAAAAATATTTGAATTTCTCTCTTTTGTAAACCTGCTAAAAGCTATTTGAATTTTTAATACGAAAAGTCACGAGAAATTTGTTGATAAAACAAAAACTATAATTAAGATGCTTTATTTTTGTTTCGTTGATAATTATTAAATAATAATTTCGTCTGTTTCTTTGATAATGTCAAGATTTGTTCGCTTGATTGAAGCGAAAGACAAATCATGCTACGCCGTGAAAAAAAAGGGCTAAAAATTGGCGGAGAGTAAAGGGTATAGCCAGTCAGACCTAACACGTCCAAAACGAAATTTATATCGGGTGTTTTGGAGTTTTCATGTGTTATGATATGATTGTTTTATCAACACTTGCTTAACGTTCCTCGCTGATGCGCATGTAGATCGAGAATATTTATATTTCATTTGTTGAAATTTATCGGCTATTTTAGCCTACGAAATTCGTAAAGTATTTTGGCAATTAAACGCAAGGAAAAATTGATAACTTTCTACTTCATAGCAAGAAAAAATGTCAAATTTAGGCTCAAAACGAATTGTTTATAACCGATAATAATTAATAGAATAAATGTAAGATTTCATTGGTCAATGAGTATACGATTGCAAAAATCTATAATATCCACCTTACTCATATAAATATTTAAGAAATAGAAAACATTTTCCGTGTTTCTATAGAGTTATAGAAACACGCGTGGGAGTTTGGGAGAACGAAAAATAATCAGTGACGTTATTTCGAGTTCTCCCAAACTCCCACAAGTGTTTCTATAACTGTATAGAAACACAGGAAAAAATGTTTTCTATTTCTTTTATAATATAACTCAATAAAAAGATTTTGTACAAATATTATAATTCGATTCAATTACAAATTCTCATTACATCGCTTCGCTTGTCAAGTTCGGCGGGAATATTCCCGTGTTTCTATACAGTTATATAGAAACACGCTTCTCGACCAATCAGCACGCGCGTACTATAAATGTTATATTATAAAAAGTTATTTAACAACATTTCCTTGTCACTAGCCGATACATTTCTCTTTTCCAGCAAATGCAATGAAAGCATCAACCTCGTACGCGTTGCCTTGGAGATGACGAATAGCAACCTGCACAGACATCCTGAATTGTTTGTTTATACTTTCACATTTCTAGAGCAGCATATTTGTATTTGTGCATACGAGTCTCAATTTTTACGAGGCAGTTCCTTCTTGTTTTCGTTGTTGTTTCTTAAAATATTCGGTCAGTTCAATTTTTCCGATTGAAGCAGACCGTTATTATTACTTTCATCGAGAATCATTCGCAGCACAGGGCTTGCAGGTGCCCCATATATGGAAACATGTTTTTATGAATATATTATCTGAAGATTTTATTTCATCAGTTAAGCTCAGAAAATGTTTCACGAAACAAGTGACTATTAAAAATATACTATTTGCTCAATATTATGCTCTGATAATGTAACAAAGGCAAACAAAAAGATGAACGGTAAATAATTTCAACGATTCGGCCACTGGACTGGATTTCTAGAATTTCAAAAAGCACGCGATGCTCTCAGAACAGCTGATCGATATTTTATATTCGTTCATAAAATGTTTGATTGCAGGACTTCACTGTCCATTAAATCGTAGCCAAGGCCCAACACACGTTTCACCAAGGGCCATCACACCAACGTCGTTTGAATATGAAGAATTTCCGGGAACGAACGAAGAAGAATCGACAAACCTATTGGAAAATACAGAAAGTTTCTACGCCTACGGTACTAACAACTGCGATGTTTTAACAAATACTATTGCCGACGTCCCCTTTAATTGGTTTGTGCCGCACAAGACAAAGAGAGGTCGCTTCTTGACATCGATTTGTCAAAGTCTCCCTACAGTTGCAAGTATAATGTTATCAGCAATAGCTATCAGCATTTTTGCAGGTGTCTTTGCTTATCTGGACCTGGAAACAACTGATAAATGTATTGCCATTCAACACTACTTCAATAAATCTATTCCATTCCAAGTTATGAAGCGGAAATTAATTGGCGAATCATTTCAAGTATTGCTACTCAACTTTTGGTTTTCGGCGACGATCGCTTTATTATTCGGTGCAAAAGAATTCTTTAAAAAGTTCAGATCCTTACTGTGCACTGGTTTAATAATGGGACTTTTAGTCGTGATATACAAGATGTATTTATTTATTTTCACCGCAGACCATAACTTTAGTGATTCGTACAAAAGATATCCTGCAAATTTCATATTCTTACTCGGCGTCATACTGAGTTGTATTCAAATTGCGTATGCAACAAGACAATCAATAACAAGCATTGTGTTGAGAATTGGACAGATTTTTGTATTCTCTTTCCTCATGGCAATTTCTTATCGTTATTTAATCGCTCCTTGGTTTAATCAACAGAAAAATGAAATTTACAAAGCAATGATTGCTGCCGCTCTTCCTTTCATCGCCTTGATCCCAGTTGCAGTTAGTAAGTACGTGGTGTTGTGTCACTGTTCTGGTTTTGTGACACCTGGCCTGTCGTATATTTTGGTCTACTTCAATTATTTGGTTCCAGTCACCTTGTACCGGCTCATGCAGGCTGATCTAACCGATATAAGATTGTTTGTAGCTTTTTCTTTACTGCACGGAATATTCAACATCCTTGCTCAGGTACGTTTCTTTCCTCATACAATCTGCATTTACTTCATGTAACCAGGGATCAGCGTGGCAGCGTTTTCCCAAACTTTGCATGAAATGCCGTATAGCAACTGCCGAAAAATAAACAATAAACCTCAATCCTTCGCGTACTAAACACGAGATATTAGGGAACGTTTAAATCAAAGCATTTTCTTGAAACTGGGATATGGATCAAACGAGACTGATTTAATGAATTCATAATGAATTGAAAATATGCAAAAAAACTTTATCAATCTCCAAGATTGTCTTTAATAATCCTCTTTTTCCTAACCGCCTGAAGTTGTTTTTTTTATTTTGGTACGCATCGCGTACTTTTTTCAGACAAAACATGAACATTAATTCACAGTTGCGGCAGTAGAAACGTTTTGAAAAGTATCAAGCAATTCATTGCTCAAATTTATAGGTTGGCTTACGGAGTAATCAAATACTTGACTTCGGCAACTGATAACTTCCTAACTTCCGCAACTGATATATTTGAGCAAATGAGTTTCTCGATATTTCTCGGAACGCTTCCATTGCCGCGACTGTAAATAAAGTTAAGGTACGAGAATCCTGGCTAGTGAAAGCAAGATTTCTATTGTACATATCTTCAATCAAAACCATGCATATTATTTTTGGCTTGTCTCGCAAAAACACCGAATTGACACAAGACACAGAGTAACTTCAATGTAAATATGACGAGGTGTTTTCAATAAATGGATCATTTAAATAAAAATTAATCGTCGTCAAACGTTGATTTACACGCATGCATCACGTGATAACATAAAATTAAAAATGGAATATTACAGAAGATTATAAATTTATACCGCATATAATTTTAACTTTAGTTAACGCGACATTTTCGTGAAAATTTATGGGGTCGTACGCTACGATTATTTACAAAAAATCGTTGGAATCTAGTCCCATATTCCTCACCTCACAACAGAAGATTACAAGCAGATCTTGAAATACAAGATATGTTGTCTCAATTTGGAACTCTCCTTTTGAGTCAAGTTTATATGATGTTTTATCGTCTCAGCACATTTGATGTTGCCTTGAGTAAAGAAATCAAGATGATTTACCCTCGTGTTCTAATTGGCCTAGCCATTGAATTCGTATTTGCCTGGCTTTCAACTTTTATTCAGATTTGGTTGTATAACATCGCTATCAAAACTGTCTGGTCGAGATACTGGCGACGACATTTACTTGCCAATGTTTTAATCGTTGTGGTGACTGTGTCGTATTTCTCTCCTGTTTTATTAAGTGTGTTCATGTCTCGCATGGAAACCTTGAATAAGGATAAATATGCTGTGCAAAACTGTACAACAAATTTTGTATAAATTTAACATTAACTTTTTAAACTTTCCTAATTCTGTCCTTAACAAGTATCTACAGTGAAAAGATAACTAGTCTTTTATTCACATGGTGTTTTGATAAGTTTTGGTGATATATATAAATTATAAGGCTAGGAGAAAGAAAGGAATCTCTATATAACCTATAAATCTGTCGTGTGTAATAAAAATTATGTCTATTTACCGTTGGAATTTAAATCTTAGTTTAAAATTCATAAAGGTTGTTAAAAAGTGAACGGCCAAAGTTCGGTATTGTTTCAAGTTGTTTTTACCATGCAAGGGAGTAGAAATATGAAATGCGTCACTGCATGATCTGTTGACTATTTTTTGGTAATGATTGGTAAGATGTTACCTTAGTAGTAATGACAAAAGAGAGACACAAAGAACTTGTGAAAAGAATGCACAATGTGAAAAGAATGCGAATTTTTTTTGGAATTTCCATGCTCTAGATCTTCGGAAATGGCCATTTCAGAGTCTTACTTGCTGAAAGTATCGTAGTTTTTCATGGGCAGACACCGCAAACTGAAACGGCACAGCGCGTGTTGTGATATCTTCTACATTTGAAAAATCATCTCTCAAATTCTCAAAATAATTTCCAAACAAAATGGCGGTCCGAAAATAATAACAATATACAACCACGAATAATCTGCTGTTAAAGACAACTATTAAAGATCAAAGAAAGTCAATTTACATTCACTTGATCCGTATCACAATATAGGATATCTTATTAGCATTTGATACGCCGGCGAGCATTAATTTGACGATTTCGTGGTAACGTATTTTGTATATTTAATCTCCCATTCTGGCATTCTTCATGAGATTTTTGAAATTTTACTTCTGGGGGGGCTAAAGCCCCCCCCCTAGCCCCCCTGTTCCGTTGCCCCTTCATCCAGGAGCAACTAAACATGACCAAAAATGCAGACCAATATGGATGCCAAGTATGCCTGACTTAGCGCTAATTCAAAAATCCAGTATGGCTTCCGTATAAGAAAATTGGTGGGGATTTATTAAAATTTGCTTTCTATGTAACCCACAATTGAGACGTTATGCTTGTCAACGTCCAAAACATCATCAATTTTATCCATCTTTAAGCATTGAAAATTTGAGGACAAGTCGCAATGCCCGAGTATGTTCCGGAGAAACAATATTTTTACGATTGAAATTGTATAAGAAAGTATATACTCCGAGCATATTAGGTACCTCACAGATCCAATTTCTGCTGGTTGTTGGCAAGCATCGCCAATTCTTCACGTCAGAGCTGGTTCGTAAAGACTCTAGCATTATTTACATCGCATTTTAGAAACTCTTTGTCATCTGATCAGATGACATTTAAAAATGGTTGGCTCATTTTAACTTGCATTTTTTGTGCAAATACTTGGCCGATTTTAATAAAAATTAAAGCATTTAATTGTAGTTTAAATTTAATTTAATAAAATTTAATTCAATTCAATTTAACAGTAGATAGATGTTTTTTTAGTTCTAATATGTTTCAAATTCGCTATGATATTTACTTTAAAATGCATGCGATTTAGCTATTATTCTATATTATACCTCAAAGCGGCCTAATCCTTAGAGTTTTGCCCAAAACGCAAACATAAACTGGTTACAGTGATTTAGTTGACATTTCTAGGATCATTTTGATGTAATTATTTAGCTTCAAAATCGAGCCTTTAGACGATTTTTGCCGATTTTTTACATAAACATTCATAATCTGCATCATGGTATGTATTATCGCATCGCTCACGGCAAGCATTACCAATTCACTTGGTCCAATTTTACGCCAGGAATCGATTTCTGGGGTCAAAATTAGCCTAGGGGGTGGGCATCACAGACTTTTGTCACATTTTTGAACCGCGTGACAAGACTCATCAAGGCTCGTCGCTTAGATCTTGAAATGGCGATTTCTCCGATTTTTTTGCACATCCTAATACAAAAATACATGGAGGTTATAACAGAATGATAATAGGCAAAATTAAGACAGTCTAAAGACAACAGAGAACAAAATAAATTGTCAAACATGGAATTTCGAAAAGTATATGGTTGCCATCGGGAAGTAATTTGAGATAACAATGCAAGCTAGTATTTTGAATTATATTACAAGTGCGGCTTATAACTATCTGCTGATTTGAATATAGCATTTATATGACCTCTTCAAGCGCTATCGTTTGGTGGTATTCCAGCATTTTTAGCCTAAATATTTACAGAGATATTCAATTTAAGCAACGGTCCCCTCTATGACACCCGACATTAGGACCAACCGAAAAGGAGTTTAACTTAAAAACTGGGTAAATGTGCTCCCCAACGCGATAAAGTTCATCAATATATATTGTAGAATGGTTTTTGATCGCCATTATTTTCTTTTCGCTGTTGGTATGATAAAAAGCGAAAGTTATATTTTAAATATTCACCAATATTATATAAGTATTCGCGCTAAGTGCCGTCGCCAGCATCGATAAGTGATTAATTTCTATAGCTATGTTTGGGTTACCGGACTATTGTTTGCAAGTTTGGTATAGACAAATAACAACCTTTTTAGTAAGTAACATACGCATGCATACTCAATGTGAGTACATAAATCAATTCAACTTATTATTTAATGTATATATAGCTATATCATTACGAATTCTTTAATCTTTGATCCTTATCTGAACTGCATTGAACAACAGAGACAGTCTGTCTGTAAACAGATAAATTATATATTTTTAGGGTAATTATTCTCTTTAGTTTTCTAATAGAATTTTTGGCGAAAAAGATAGCCGTCAAATTAACTGTCAAGTGTCTGGCCCTCGATTGTCTCGCAATTTGAATACAATTCGGAGTGACACTAAGTAAGAATACTTTAAATTTGTAGGATATTTCTTGTGCGAATCAATAAAATTATGCTTCTAACATGGAATCATATCAAACCATGAACAACAATATAAGGGCCTCGTTATCAGCAAGCAGTAAAAGTTAACATCACAAATTAGACTAGGAAATAATAAATTATTTATAATTAAAGCATTGAAACATCTCGGCATTTTATGAGTCTAAATATCTATCTGATGTTTTGTATTGAAACTTTGTAGTCACTAATTATATAGCACTGGTATATATGCGATACACTTATCTCAATAAAGTTAAAAGACGCCTGTTCTGGCGTTAACTCCGGCGCACATGCCAGTCTTCAATATAAAACTTTTGAACATAAACAATACAGTTCATACTCCTTTAGATGCCTTGCGAACCTTAATGTTCGATCGCGAAATTCGGAAGCACATCGTACTTTAAAAAGTATAGAAGTTCAATTGTTGAAAAATGTAAATAAACCGCATGATACATTCGCTTTGTCTTACACTTTGCCTTTGGCATTCGCGCTTATATAGTTATATTAAATCTTCAATCCTGTGCAAACTACGACGTGTCAACGCGCCCGTACACGACCACATCTTGTTAAACGGCGAAATAGCAGCGATATTAATAAAATAGGACCAGAATCTACATGTGTTAAATATATTCTTACCCCAATTCAATGCAAACTTAATCGAACAGCATGAAAAGAACAGTTTATTTGTTCCTCTTGGAGAAATTGCCGTATCATCACTATATTATGCGACCGAAATCGAATCGCGCATCGGAAAATTAGCCAAACCAAAGCTGTGCACCACAACTCTTGGGACACAAGACTGGGACGTAGATAAATACGGTAACATACACTTTTTAAATACTAGTATATTTCGCGCCATGGCACACTTGCGACGCCAAAAAAAAGACCGAGGCGAATTTTCAACTCCGTCGCTGGCACCCGAGTAATTAATAAACCAGAAGAGAACTTTTAAAATCACCAGTGTTAAATGCATGTCATTCATATATTTCTGTAAATCGATCTTATGAAATGAAACTTCTTAGTTAGAGTGCATTACGTTAACACACGTATCCTCATTCGCTAATTAACCGCAACTTTACTCATGAATTTAGTATAACTTAAAAATATATATTCTCATGTCAACATTTGTTCAGTAATTTTTTTCAACTTATATAGTTTAATCTGTGTCAGAACACATGGCTGAACGTTTTGAAGTGAGGCGTTGTTTTACTGCATTAATCGACATCGTCGTCGCAAATGTGTTTTGGCGCGAAATACACTAGTATTTGAAAAGTGTATGTGACGGAATTCATCTACGTCACAGTTCGTCTCCCAAGACATGTGGTGCACCGCTCGAAATTTTTGGCTAATTTTCCGATGCGCAATTTGATTTCGCTCGCAGATACGGCAATTCCTCCAAGAGGAACAAATAAACCGTTCTTTTAGAAAATTTAGAAGAAAATTTATTAGAGAAAAGAGACATTGGCAGTCATGAGACTGAATTATGTGTCTTTTACATACAAATATATACGATAATTTAAAATACATAATAAAATAAGAAACAATATATATTTACAACTTATTAGACCTTTTTAGTCAAAGTCACAATTATGAGTTCTTTAGATTAGATATATACAATCATTTAAAATTGAAAACAATACATATATACAACTTATTATCAATTAGCAAAATTTGCTTCAGTACTAAAACTCATTATAAAAGAGTTTTTGAAACGATCTGTTCGGCATTGTGGCGTGTTAAAAATTCTATTATTTCTCAGAAAACCATTACAGTTATTACGAGGGGGAAGTAAACCAGCAAGTTTATGGTTTCCATTGACAACAATATCTTTAAAAAGACTTTGTGATAGCATTTCTCGCCTGTCAAAGAGGGTGGGAATAAATGCCTCTTTCAGTGCTTCATTATAACTTTGATGAGGGAAAGTAATCCGCAATGCACGCTTCTGAATGCGTTCAAGATCATTCGAGAGGTAATTGGGGAGATTTCTATGAAACAATTGACAGCAATATTCCAGTACTGATCGGACAACACTAAAATAAAAGGCTTTCATATCATCAACACTGAGTCCCGCTCTTTTAAGTTGTCTTAAGAGATATAGGCGCTTTGAGGCCTTGGCAGTTATGGTTTTAACATGATCTATCCACTTAAAATCGTCACGAATAGTAACACCGAGAAGTCTTGCAGCACTAACTTTATCAAATTTTATCCCATCTATCTCAATTGGAACGAAAGATGGAGGGATTCTCTT